AATACACCCTATAGATTTTCATTGTGAGAAAGAGAAGTAAAGTCCAATCTTTTGTAAAGAATAAAGAACCTGCAAATATAATGAGAAAATATTTCTGCTCCAAGTTAAGTACGTAAAATTCCAAGTTAAGTACGTAAAACGGCTTCTTAAAAGATAAACACAGACTGTTAAGATTTTTTTTACATCAAGTTGTTCATTGATAAATTGTTATCTAAAAAACACTGAAAATACAATACATTTTTATCCTACTTCTATCTTGTTATCTCCATGCCCCTAATTACATGCTTCGTAATAATACATGATCCCCTAAGCACTTTCATTATGCTCGGAAATATATAACATCTGCAATTATAGGTCTGGTACTTTCCCCCAAAAATGTATATGCCTTTTATAGGATACCGTATTCCGTATCTAATGTTTCATAAGCAGCTTTTTCACATTTTTCACTTCCTACAATGTTTCATGTTTCTGTTGCTTTGTATTGTTCCCTATCTGATTGTAAATTTCATATTTCTCACTTCCTAAAATGTTTCATGTTGCTGTTTGTTTTGTGAATTCATTCTTCCCTGTCTGATTGTACAGCCTCAATTCCAAAAAAGTTGGGATGCTGTGTAAAATCTACAATAAAACAATAAAAACAGAATGCAATGATTTGCAAGTCTCATAAATCCATATTTTATTCACAATAGCAGATATAAAACATATGCAATGTTTAAACTGAGAAAATGGACCATTTTAAGAAAAAAATAAGGTAATTTTGAAATTAATGGCAGCAACACGTCTCAAAAAAGTTGGGACAGGGCAAGAAAAAGCTGGCAAAATAAGTGGTACTAACAAGGAAGAGCTGGAAGAACAATTTGCAACTAATTATGTTAAATGGCAACAGGTCAGTAACATGATTGGGTATAAAAAGAGCATCTTAGAGAGTCAGAGTGTCTCAGAAGTGAAGATGGGCAGAGGTTCACCAATCTGTTAAAAATTGTCGAACAATTTCAGAAGAATGTTCCTAAACCTAAAATTGCAAAGACTTTAAATATATCATCATCTACAGTGCATAATATCATCAGAAGATTCAGGGAATCTGAAGAAATCTCTGTGCGCAAGGAACAAGGCCAAAATGCAACATTGGATGCCCATGATGGCACTGCATTAATAACAGGCATGATTCTGTGATGGACATCACTGCATGGACTCAGTAATACTTCCAAAAATCACTTTCTGTGAACACAGTTTGCCGTGCCATTCAAAAATGCAAGTTAAAGCTCTATCATGCAAAGAAGAAGTGATACGCCACCGTCTTCTCTGGACCAAAGCTCATTTGAATTGGTCTGTCACAAAGTGAAAAACTGTTCTGTGGTCAGATGATCGAAGTTGGACATTCTTTTTGGCAAACATGGGGCACCGCGTTCTCTGGACTAAAGAGGAGAGGGACCTTCCGGCTTGTTACCAGTGCTCAGTTCAAAAGCCAGCATCTCTGATGGTATGGGGGTGCATTAGTGCATATGGAATGGGCAGCTTGCACATCTGGAAAGGACCCATCAATGCTGTAAGATATATCCAAGTTTTAGAGCAGCATATGCTCCCATCCAGAAAACGTCTTTTTCAGGGGAGGCCCTGGATACTTCAGCAGGACAATGCTAAACTGCATCTATAACAACAGCTTGGCTTCGTAGTAGAAGTGCTTAACTGGCCTGCCTGCCTGCAGTTTCAGACCTTTCACCAATTGAAAATATTTGGCAAGTCTTGAAACGAAAAATATGACCCAGGACTGTTGAGCAGTTAGAATCCTATATCAGGCAAGAATGGAACAACATTCTTCTCCCAAAATTCCATCAACTGGTCTCCTCAGTTCCCAGACATTTACGGAGTGTTGTTAAAAGAAGAGGGGAAGCTACACTGTGGTAAACATGGCCCTGTCCCAACTTTTTTGAGAAATGTTGCTGCCATCATTTGCATTCTGCTTTTATGTAGATTTTACACAGCATCCCAACATTCTTGGAATTGGGGTAGTACATTTCATAAGCAGCCCTTTCACATTTATTGACAACTGTGCGCTGTGCTGATCACCACACCTCCTTCTTTCTGTGGGTGTGAACGAGCGGCACAGCACACAGACCCCACCAGATTGCCAGAGCAGTGCTCAGCATATCAGTGGATTAAAGGAGAACTATGAGGTGAGTGCTTTTCACTCGCCTCATAGTTCTAGCCGACCTGTGACAATGAGACTGTCACAGGTCGGCTTAGTAGATCGGGAGGTGAGCGAACACATACCGGGTTCGCTCGCCTCTCGATCCTGTCACGTCTCTCTGCAGTGACAGGGGAGGGGCTAGATTCCCCCCTCCCTGCTCCGATCCTCCAGCGCTGACTGGTGGAACGGACGGGGGCGGGTACAGCTGGCTCTGCCTCTAAATAGGCAGAGCCAGCTGTCAGTGACGCAGCTGGGCGGATCCAGACATAATTGTTGGGATCTGCTTGAGCTGCGGCGCCTCAGTATACCGCGAGCTGTAGCTGTATACTGAGCCTAGGGTGACGGGAGGACGCTACTTTGTGTCCTCCCGTTACCCTAAGGAGAACTATGGGGAAAAGCCTTAACCCCATAGTTCTCCTTTAACATGGGAAATGTAGTGCTTAGTTCCTCTGGGTAAGCATGTTGAATGTGACATGCTCTGCCTCATTTGATCCTCCCAATGGCGTCTGTGGAACTGCACAGGATGCAGAAGCGTTTGATGATGTTACAGAATAAGTAAAAAAAGTAAGGCATTCCTAAAAAAAACAAAAAACACATAAGCATTTTTCTGTGTAATTGGGCAGAGGAAGCTATGGTAAAAAAGTTACCATGATCCTGGAGTTCAGTTTTAACAATGAAACTGGGCTTACTGCATACCCATTTGAAAGAACATCATCATCTGATGGTACTATATAAAAACAATTGTATAGTGACTTCAAGTAAAAGTCAGTTGTTCGATTTCATATTCTCCTGTTGTCTATCCACAGGGATCTGCAGAGGGAAAGGGTTTCACCGATGGCACATTTCGTGGACACAGGTTTTTCCACTGTGATGAGAATTGCGGAGTCTTTGTTCCAGGAAGTAGGCTGGAGCGGGATTTGGGAAGAACCCCAGTTCGGAAACAGGGTGACATGGACGACAAGCATTCAGCAGAAGCAGATGAATTGGTTCGCAGGCACAGAAACCACCAGAAGCCAGTGACTTTTTTGTCACGGGGAGTTAGGCAACCGAGCCCACCAAGATTTGTGGAGAAAGGCCGAGAGGTACCGAGAGCTGATGAGAAAGACCGAGAGGGACCAAGGGTCAGCCCAAAAGAAAATGATTCACCAAGAGGTGCTGAGAAAGACCAAGAGATGGCTCGAGGTGTCGAGAAAGACAAAGGTAACTTTTTATGATATTCCGGCATAATGTTCTTGTGGATTTTTCTGATTTAGGAGCTCTAATTAAATTACTGGACTTTTTAATAAAGCTGCAAAATGCATTGGGGGAGTGCAGACTTCAGTATCCCATAGCAACCAATCAGAAATCATTTCAACTTAATTTTGCTTTAATTCTCCATAATGGATGGCTGCCATTATTTACACTTCTGTATCTCTTAGATGTGTTAATTTGACCTAAAAGAGGACTGAAGCCAAGCTTTTTTTGACTTCAGCCCTCTTTGGGTTCAACAGGGTACATTTACTAATGTACTTCTGTGACCCAAAGTCAGCATCTAGCGGGCTACTGCCCACTATTTGCTGACAGCGCAGAGCCACAATGCAGCCAGGGAGGATCCTGACAATATTTTTGGGATCCACCGCACTGCCTGAATGACAACTGGCTCTGCCTCTCTAGAGCCAGCTGCTCCTGCCCCTTTCCCTGTCTGTCCCTCCAATGAGCGCTGGAGGAATAGAGAGAGGAGGGGGTAATCCCTGCGGGGAGCGGTGACTGATAGTTACCGCTCTCTGCAGGGAAAAGACTGAGGTGAGCGATCAGCGAATCTCAATCTATAGAGCTGGCATGTGAGAGCTGCAGTGTCACACACCCACTCTAAGCATTGGGAAGAGTACATTTTACTCTCCCTATGCTTCTCCTTTAAGAAAAATGAGATGGATAATGCTGACTGAGTAGATTGATGCAAAAAGCTACTGAGCTATGGGCTCAGAATAGTGATACCATCTTCTGCCTATAGAGTGTAGCAAATGTGTTCAATTTATGAGAGTGTGTGAGCAAAACTGAAACAATTCTGGCACATTCGGCAGTTTATATACAGTACAGCACATAATTGCATATTCAATTGAGCTTTAAATATGTACAATGTACCCCAGGCATCCATGTGTACAATGTATTACAGACCCATGCCCTGGGGCCACTGTTCATGTGCCATCCTCATCAACCCTTCTCTAACAGGAATATTTTCTAGGTGACCGAATTATACAGAGACTAAAGATAACATCATACCTCATATACTTGCATACTTAAAAATCCTTGTGACAATGTGGTAATCAGTCATTGATTCACATGGCATGAATTATACCCTGATTAGCATCATCTTCTTTGTATCTTGATTGATATCTGAGTTTAAAAAATACCTTCATCATCCACCTTTTTGTGTTAAATAGATACAAGAGCCAAAAAATGCTTTAAAATAGAGAAATACATTAAAGAGCTATATGTATGAGTGCAAAGTATACGATACTGTGCTGCTACTTTAAAGCTGAACTCCAGGTAAAGCCATTTTTTTATATTTTCCATTGGTCCAGCTTGTCCCCATACAGGTATATGTCATAATTGAGCAGCCCACAGGGATCCTGTAAAGCACTGTAGCAGCCAGAGCTACTACAATGCTTTAGACGAATCATCCGGGTCCTGTAATGTTACTGAGCTGAGTGGCTTCCCCTCTTCTCTGAAAACACACAGGGTTGCTCTTTCAGCAGAGAAGCCGTTCTGAGAACACCTAGAGGGGGGATTTATCAAAACTGGAGCAGACACAATCTGGAGCAGCTGTGCATGGCAATCAATCAGATTCTCTCTTTCATTTTCAAATCTTAACTAAATTAGCGAGGTTACAGGCAATAATAAAAACTTGAAAGTATGTTAAAGCAAACAGTTTTTAAAACATCCGTATAATATATGGAGAAGCTAATTTGAGTAATGTGTGCAGTACTTTCCTTAAAGAGACACTGTCGCTAAATATTCAGTTCCAAAAAAATTTCCGGTTCCACATCTAACATATTTTAGGCTGCTGAGTGCCACCACCTTGGATATCAGCAGCCCCAGCAGACTCAGAGCTGACACTATAGTATTCCCCTTTACTCCTCCTCTGGCAAAGAGGTATGGGGACCTGGGTTAGCACAGACAGTATTTGCACACTGAAAAGGAGAGGGCTATGGTGTGCAAGGAGGCAAGGCCTGTACTAGGGAATTGTCTGGTCAATTTTTCTAGCAAGTTCAACGGCACATTCTGTGCTCTTGCAATTTGTCAAGTTGTGGGCAGGGTCTCTTTAGGCAAATTTTTATCACCCTATTTTTACAAGCATTTTGTAAAATATTGTTGTTATTGTGCTAAATAAAGCAATGTATAGAATAACTGATAAATGGAACAAAATCTCCCTTCTTAAAGTGACACTTTCACCTTGCACATTGAGGGCAAAGTGACAGTGTCTGTGTGAATGTCCCCTCCCCTGACCACCTTATATTCACCTTCCATATTCCAGCTTCTTCAACTGCCTCAGCTGGTAATGATACCTGCTGCATGGGGCAGTGTATGAACTTCTCCTATGTGATGGTGGTTGCTTGGCCCAAGCATTGTCCCATGAGTGATGGCACCACTCCTGGCATCCAACACTAGCCAGCTAGAGATTTAATCACTGACTGTGATGGAGAAAGGAGAAGGGGAGTGCTGGCGTAGTGAGTTTCAATGGGAGCAAGCCAACAGTGTCTGTTTTAATACCTAACCAGATGAAATAGGCCAGACAGGGAGTGCATTGTTGTTAAGGAGACAGCCAATGCGTATACTTGTATTGTGAGAAGGAGCAGTAAAGCACAGCCATCATGATGTAGTAAAACAGAGTCTGAGTATGTAATGATCAAATATGGCTTCCCTGTGTATACAATTACAAAATATACATAGAAACAGTTTACATACATGCCTTTACATGTATGTGTAAAAAATTATTGCATAGACAATAAATTCCCTTTAAATAATGTGGCCTGGCATTCCTGGCTGCTTTGAGGTTATGATTTCATCCTGTGGGTTTCCTTTCCATCCCATTATGTACATTGTATCTAAGCATTCGGTATACATTGTCTGATGTTTTTACTTTGTTTCAGCAGTGCCACCGGCTGAAGAAAGGAGCAGGAAGCCTTGTGCTCCAGAGGAGACCACGGTACAAGGTAATGTCATTTAGTCAAGACAATATGGCTCTAATTTTAGCTTCACATACAATAAATACATTGGCTTAGGTCACAAAGGCCTAAAGTGAGCCTTGGATCACAGCTACAGTATTTTTGAGCTGCTAATTAGACCTTTATCTTCAGTTTCCTCTCACCTAAAAAATACATTAACATTAATGTTATGATATTTACAGAGTTGTATGGGTGTGTGAATTCCATAAAAGCTAAAGATCATTGAAATGACAAGGATAATTGGCACATATATACTCTGTATACATAGTGGTCAAATGATGTAACCTCCAAATGAGTAACTAAATTATTCTGTAGGTTTCCTTTATAACAGCTGGAGGAGAGTGGACAAATTGAACATTTCTATATGTGCTTATGTCTGATCGTGGTATAGGTGGGCTTATACTGGTCATTCATGTTACAATAAACTGTCATCAGGTTTATAGGTTTGACTATTTCAAACTATCCTTTGCTTAAAGTGACATTAAACCCTCAGATTCTTTAACATAAAACAATACTGTAATGTGTGCCTTACTGTAATCCAGGGTAGTTTCCCTTCTCTTTGCTGCTCTTCCTTTTAAATATGTATCTGTTCTCATACTTGGGGAGAACTTCCCTTTGCAGCTGAGTGCCTCTTCCTGTATCCATTCCTGAGACAAGGCAGTCTGCTGCAAAACAGAAGTTCTGCCCAGCATGAGAAGAGATACAGATTTAAAAGGAAGAGCAGCAAAGAGAAGGGAAACAACCATGGATTACAGTAAGGCACACATTACAGTATTGGTTTATGTTAAAAAATCTGAGGGTTTAATGTCACTTTAAAAGTATGTGCAGGACGCAACAAACAAACATATTTTTATGGTTGAATTCAGCTCAATGTTTTACAAAGGTCAAGTTTTTCTTTGTGGTTAAAACAATTGTTTATTTACTGAGCTGCCCATTTATTTCTATCAATTCCCCAAAAATACATTAATAGATGTAATCATGATACAAACAAATCATCATTATGGGGTCTATTTATAAACCAATTTGCAGAGCCATTTGGTCTGTGAGTCTATATGAACGTTCTGTGCAAATAGAGGCAAAAACAAGCGCTCTTAGTATATTCTTTTGTGGTTGAATGTATATTTGGAAAATACTGCATAATGGCCACTAGATAAAGCAAGATAGAGTATAGGATGTACATTCAACCTGAAAAGGAAATCTAAACATTCACAGAGATTCACAGGGTGAATGGCTCTACAAAATGCTTATAAATAGACCCCTTGGTGTATGGACACACCTGTATACCTCCTATGGACCAGAGCATTTTGTATGTATTTGCTATGAGCCTGTTTATTCAACAATATGATTGTCATTGCTTAAAGTGATACTAAATTTAGGAGTTAACTCTTAAAAATGCATTTAAGTTTCCTAAATATTAACAAAAATGTATCGTATTTGTGTATCATTTGGCTGTAGATCCTCGAATAATTGTGCTGACACTTCTGGAGGGTGGCTACTTTTCCCCATAGTCCCTGTGTGTGTTGTAACGTTGAGTGATACACATATAAGATACATTTTTGTTAATGGTTAAGGTACATGAATGCATTTTTAAGATTTAACTCTTGTGTTTAGTGTCACTTTAAGATAACCAAGTAATACAAATGCATTTTTTAAGGAAAAACAATGCTTTCTTTGGTGATATTGTCTTGCCATCCATAAAAACATAAAACCCAAAAGAACAATTTGTTTCTATTTTGAGAAGTGTTAGTTTGCAAAAAAAATAGGTTTACTGTAAATAAAAAGTATGAAGTGTATCTATTGCTGTGTGCTTTTTAAAATGACACTAAAATTATGATCCTGATAAAAAGTATTGCAGAGTTATTTACAAGGTGAATTAAAGGTTTTTTTTTTTAATTTGTGCTGTTTTTTAATGCAAAACTAAAAACATTAATGAACAAAATGTTCAAATATGAATGCTAGAAAAATAAAAATCAGCAGCAAAATAATAGCTCAGGGAAGAAGGGTAGGAATTAGCTAATTAAGGCTGAGTAGGCAATGCTTTTTTTTTTCTTTTGTGTACTAGTTAGATTGTGGTAAAAGGGTACTAAAGCCAAACATTTTTTTTTTGGCCGTAGTTCTCTTTTGGGGTCACAGGAAGACATTTACTAATGTCTTCCTGTGACCCAAAGTCCACTGCCCAAAGTCCCGGGAAAGATTGTCTGGATTTACCCTGATACCTGACTGACAGCTGGCTCTGTCTCTCTAGAGCCTGCTGTGCCCGGGGGGAATCCTTGCGGTGAGCGCTGAAGGAATAGAGAGGGGAGGGGGAATCGCTGCGGGGGAAGTGACTGACAGACACCACGCTACAGACAGAAGCCATGAATTGAGGGATCAGCAGTTTGTGATTGCTCCGTTCCCGATCTATAGAGCTGACATGTGACAGCTGCAGTATCACATGCTGGCTCAAAACTATTGGGAAGAGTATATTTTACTCTAACAATACTTTTCCTTTAAAGGAGAACTATGGGGTCAGGGCTTTTCCCCATAGTTCTCCTTAGGGTAACGGGAGGACACAAACTAGCGTCCTCCCGTCACCCTAAGCTCAGTACACGCGAGCTACAGCTCGCGGTATACTGTGACGCCGCAGCTGAAGCGGATCCCAACAATTATGTCTGGATCCGCCCAGCTGCGTGAGAGACAGCTGGCTCTGCCTATCTAGAGCTGTACCCGCTCCCTCCCCCGTCCGTTCCGCCAGTCAGCGCTGGAGGATCGGAGCGGAGAGGGGGAATCCAGCTCCTCCACTGTCACTGCAGAGAGCCGTGACAGGATCGAGAAGTGAATGAACGCCGGTATGTGTTTGCTCACTTCCCGATCTACTGAGCCGACCTGTGACAGTCTCATTGTCACAGGTCGGCTAGAACTATGAAAAGCACTCACCTCATAGTTCTCCTTTAACTCACATCATATATAGATGGAATCGGATGCCTTTGATCTGCAGTAAAGTTAAATAAAAAAGATAGAAAAGTAACATGGTTACTTTGTATCTTTCTATCCCTCTTCTGAACAATTTTTATATACACCGTGTCAGAAGGTTGCTTTTTGACAGCGGCTGCTGTAATAGCCGCACTATTCACACAAGCAGCTCCTGCAAATGTAGGAGAGGGAGAGCAACGGGGCTGAATAACAGGATGTACTACACATGCCCTGTGTACTTCAATGACATTTGTTTGGGTGTGTGTAGCGCGCCCAGTGTTCATAACACTTGCAAAAGCTGGAAACTGAGCAGTTTCTTCACTTCATTAAAAACATTTATCTTGGATTATTCGCTACCCTGCCAAGTCGTAGAAAGTAGGAGTCTGTATTTGTTAAATAATATGCCTTTCAAAAAAACACACACTCTGGAAAGGATTACCAAAAGCAAATTGCTGCCTGGTTTTCTTTCTGAATTCATTATATAAATAACCCACCAGAAGCTGTCCTGAAAAGGAACTGCAGTTTTGTAATAGCTCAACCCTATAAATCTGCCTGTTTCCATACCATTTGTATAATGCTGGCCATGACATATAAGACTTTTCTATGCTATACTAGTCAATTTCATATACCATACACGTCCTGTTCCTGACTTCACAGTTACGTCCTCCCCTGGAGAGCCCAAAAGTCTGGGTAGGGTGTACCTGCACACAAACCCCAGCCTCTTACACTACTATGCTTGGTGCCTGAGTGACTTATTACCCAGGCCAAGCATAGTCATCTAGGTGATAGGTTTGTGTCTAGATTGCAGGCAGCACTGTGAAGCTAAGAATATACAACCTACTACAACCTACAACCTAGCATCTCTGTTACTTTACCTGTTATGCAGATAGTACAGGTTTAATCTAAGGGATGTGCCTACTCCAATATAAACATTTAGTGGATGCTTCAAAAAGGTGTTTTTTTTTTATTGCCAATTTAAAGCTAAACTCCAAGCACATATACATGCAGCTGTGCAATCACACATGCCTAATGTATTTTTTAAATACAAGTAGTGTAAGTACCTGAATTTCACCTGGTATCAGCCTCCTTCAGTTTTTGTACAGCAGAGTAGAAGTGTGAAAGGATGAAACAGTACAAGAAGCCCATCAGTTCATGTGTGGAGATGGAGCATGCTTATAGGAAGAGAAACTAAGAGAAACTGAATTGTTTGTTTGGTTTTGTTATTTTATCTTTTAGGCCCCGTTCCCACCGTTCCCATATGCAAATCGCGCGACATCGCGAGATTTGCCGCGCGATGTCGCGTTCAAGCTTGCATTGAGCAAGCTTGAATCGCGGCTAAATCCGCTCCAAAAAGGGTCCTGCTGTAGCGACACACGACCCGCGACAGCAGGACCCTTTGCCCCATTGGATTGCATTGGAGCAAATTACCGTGCGATATCGCGGGAATTACCGCGCGATAAATCGCTCAATGTGAACGGGGTCTTAATGGTCTGTTCATTTTTTCGTTTTGTTTGGAGTTCTGCTTTAAAAATAAAAAACCCTGTTTATAAAAGTTTTTATGAAGCCAAACCATTTTGTTGGATCGAGTATGTGAGAGCCTAATGGCCAAAAGCCTTGTCAGGTTTTGTTTTATACGCATTGTGGAGAATTTCCATCACCTACTATCTTATAGGCACAACAGGAAGTAAAAGGAAAACTCTCTGAGATAGTGGTTACCAGAAAACAAGTGACTCAAAATTTAGCATCTTCTGTTACTTTCAGTCCTGGTTATAGTGGCTACCAGTACACATAGAGAGAGTGACGCAGAGTGGGACGCAGACAGCAATAGGTGTTGCTCTAGCCCTTTTCTATTTTTATCCATAAAAGTTTTATCCATAAAGTTTTAGCTTTAGATGCACTTTAAGCATTAAAATATACAGTGGGTTAAAAATTATATTGATCTATTTAGATAAGCCCCTACCTTTTGAGTGATAAAGCTTATGATCTATTGTTCCTCCACCATATGCCTTTACCACACATGCACACCGCAGTTATGGGTAAAAAGAAGACGTTGTTCAATACTGTACCTGCATACAAGAAACACTAAACTGTAAGGGGTTCATTTATTTTAGTTCTGCCCCTCATATAGCCAGGAGGATGCCGTTCGCACGGCACTTGTGCCCCTAGATGGCGCTGACAAGTATAGGTGATTCCTATGCTCATCAGCACCATCTTGGGGCGCTAGTGCCATGTGAATGGCATCCGCCTGGTGTATGGCTTTTATATATGAAGTATTTGTCTGTGTAGAACAACAGGCGTATTTAAAAGAGCAGTAGATAGAGTAATGAAAAAGTACAAATGCAAAGTATAGAAATCTATGTGTAGAGAGTTTGTGAGTCCAAAATAAAAAAGTACACTATCATTTGGTCTATGATCACTGCAAAATCCATGGCTTTGGAAGAGCTCTATCATGTTTCTGTAAAGTAAACAGCACAATATTTCACAGGTGAAGAAGATGAACCACAACCACTGAACAATCCTCTTGAAGTAGAAGATCAGCAAGTATCTAACCAGCCGTCGGAAGATCACCACCCTCCTTTCAATCTGTACTGTCCTCCTGGGAATGACAGCCTGTTATCTGAACCAGACTCTATAAGACATGGCCTGGAACTCAATTCCATGGTTGAGGTGAACGATCCTCCCATATATGGAGTCATCCGATGGATTGGGCTTACCCCTGACTCTCCCGAAACCATTGCTGGCCTTGAAATGGTAATCTTGCCTGTGAAAAATTCTAACATTTGTAAAATTGTGTGTATTATTCACAAAGACTTCCAAAATAGTTTTACATGTACTACCAGCTAGTTGATTTAAAAAATCGTTTTTAACATTTTCTGTTCACTTCAGCATATTAAGAATCTGTTCCACAGTGCGGAACCATTTATATTTGGTAATACATTAATATATACTGAAATGAAATCCATACATGAGCCAGTTGGAATACTGACCACACGCATTGATGTTGAATCCATGTTTTTTTTTTAGAACTCTAGGAATAATAGTTAAAGTAGTATTAAACTATCAACATTTTTTTTCAATAATGAGCCCAGGTCAAACAAATATGTGTTGGCCAGCAAAGTGCTTTGTTCGCCCAAGCACTTGAAGCAGAGCTCTGGGAAAAATGATTCTTAACCCTTGCAGTAAGGCTGCCCCTGCACTGCAAGTGTTAAGTGCTTGTTTTTGTCTAGGTTTCAAAATAACAAAGTTATACTCACCCGATCCTCCGAGCCAGCTTCTTCTTAGACTGGTCCCTTCCGTCTGTCTCCTCCTCGGCTCCAGGATGGTGTGTACCTCGGCGTCCTCACATCCTATACACATTGTATAGGATGTGATGACACACTGGACCTTAGAACGCTGCAAGGGAGGGGAGTGAGGCAGAACTCAGCAGGCTCAGATGATTGGGTGAGTATAACTTTATTTTTTAACCTAGACAAAATAGAGCACTTAACACTTGCAGTGTAAGGGTAGCCCTACTGCAAAGGATAAGAATAATTTTCCACAGAGTTCTGCTGTAACAGTCATCATGTTTCCAAACAGCTGGCACCAACTCTCTCAGCTCAGCTTCCCTGAACTTCCAGTCCAGTACAAGATCACAAGGGACAGAGAAGTCTCCAGCAACTGTCTATCTACTAGCTTGGAGAAGGGAGGGGGAAGCAGGAGAGTGGCTTTGCCTTGCTGTGTCTGTGTGTTTCTGGAGACACACACAGCATACTAGCACACACAAGGGTGGCTCCATAGGACCCCGCAAGGGAAAGGTGCCACCCTAAAACCGGATATCAGGGCAAGCACTCAGGAGACCAGCTGATTTTGCAGGAAACTAAAACTTTTAAACATCAAGGAGCAGAATCCATTGTAGGTGATTTTATGCCACCTTCAGCAGCTTTCTCTGTTTCTTACAATTCACAGTTACAATGTGCGCCGATAGTATAGCTATTGCTTTACGGGCCAGTTCACACCATAAACACGACCCCGCTGGCTCTCAAAATACCTGAACAATCTGATTGGATGCAGCATTGCTCAGGCATTTTGGGAGCCAGCGGGGCCGACTAGCAAGATACTGAAGCTTGGCCCAGTGGGAGATTCCTCCATCCACACAGTTTAGCATAGATGACGGAATCTGTTGCACTTTTTCCATCTGACCATAGAAAGTCTGCACATAATATATAGGTGTATGGTCAGCTTTATCCTAATATGCAGGTAAATTATCAATGAATGATGGACTGACATATTCTTCACTTGACCCCCAAGCAGCTGAGCCTGAATATGCAGTAAGAAGTTGACAAATCTACAGATGAATGATGTGTTCATGCACCCATTTCCATTCACCTGCATGTAGTCCAGAACTCCGGATTGCTTGGTTGCAAAAAATGCCAATATTTAAAGCAGAAGTAATCCCACCAATTTAAATGTTTCCCAAAAGAAAATCTAAGCTGGAATAATACATGTTATTAAAAGAGAACTATGGGGTAATTGTTTTTCCCCATAGTTCTCTTAAGGGTCACAGGAGGACACAAACTAGCGTCCTCCCGTGACCCAAAGCTCAGTATATTGCGAGCTACAGCTTTTCATACTGAAACCGCCGCAGCCGGCACGAATCCCGACAATACTGTCGAGATCCACCCAGCTGCGTGAGTGACAGCGTGCTCTGCCTATCTAGAGGCAGAGCCAGCTGTATCCGCCCCCTTCCCCCGTCCGTTCCTCCAGTCAGCGCTGGAGGATCGGGGAGGGGGGGGGAATCCCTGCGGGGAGTGGTGACTGACAGTCACCGCTATCTGCAGGGAGATGATCGAGAAGTGAGCGAGCGACGGTATGTGCTCGTTCACTTCCCGATCTATTGAGTTTCATTGTCACACGTCGGCTCGAACTATGAGGATGAGTGATCTTCACTCACCTCATAGTTCTCCTTTGAATCCTTTCTCAAAATTCTATTTCCTGCAGTGTATTTGTTTACATTCTGCAATCTAGCACATGTGCAGTGTATGCTACATTCAAGGCCCCCTGGTGAGAACTGTCACAGTTGCCAGAATGCATGTATCAACTTTCAAGCCCTCAAATGGCTGGTGTCATAGCTGATCACATGTGTGCAACACCATGGCAAGGATCCAAATAGAGAGTAACCGTCCTCGGTGGATAGGAAGGTTTAGTTTGGCTTCTCTCAGCAGGTAAAACTTGCAAAGCCCCCACCCTTTGTGACTGGCACAGCCAGGTATGTCTCCACCAACCACAGAAAGCAGTGGCCAACTCTTTTGACTGGTGTCTTCTGGTGTCATGAGGCTCATTACTTGCTGGCAGTTTAGATTAAAATGTTAGTATATTCTGAATTTGCATTTGTTGATCATATCATTTTGTCAGGAATTGAGTTGAATTACAATCATGCTTTTTATGTGAACTGAGTTGTTCTTCAGCTGTCAAACTTTGGTGCTATGGTTACGTGTTGACTCTCTAACTGCGGTGAAAGTTATTTCTTACCATCTCCTAGTTATGGCTAAATCTGTTAAAGGAGAACTATGAGGTGAGTGCTTTTCACTCACCTCATAGTTCTAGCCGACCTGTGACAATGAGACTGTCACAGGCCGGCTCAGTAGATCGGGAGGTGAGCGAACACATACCGGCGTTCGCTCACCTCTCGATCCTGTCACGGCTCTCTGCCATGCCCGAGGAGGGGCTGGATTACCCCCTCCCCGCTCTGATCCACCAGCGCTGACTGGCGGAACGGACGGGGGAGGGGGCGGGTACAGCTGGCTCTGCCTCTAGATAGGCAGAGCCAGCTGTCAGTCACACAGCTGGGTGGATCCCGGCACAATTGTCGGGATCCGCTGCAGCTGCGGCGTCTCAGTATACCGCGAGCAGCAGCTTGCGGTATACTGAGCCTAGGGTGCCTGGAGGACGCTAGTTTGTGTCCTCCCGTTACCCTAAGGAGAACTATGGGGAAAAGCCTTAACCCCATAGTTCTCCTTTTTAAAGCATGTTTTTTTATATATATATATATTACTCATAAAGCATCTGTGTGCAGCCACCCAGCTTTGGAATGTTTGTACCGTTAGTATTAGATTTTGTTATTATTGTTTTGATAGGAGGAGGAGCTCCCCACTGCCTACACAGATGGAGTTTACAGAGGAGCGAGATGTTTTTATTGTGGACCCAATAAGGCCTTGTTTGTGAAACTTCGAAACTGCCGACCAGACTCTCGTTTCTATTCCCTGCATGGGCCAACCAATCAAATTCAGAGATGTAACTCTATCGGTAAGCATTGCTGGCTTCAGATAGTTATAGGATATTTATGGCAATGTTGGAAAACAAAAATGTTTACAGATTTGTCTAACTTCTGGTATCTATTTGCATTACAGCATTCCAAGACTATACTAGCAAATGTGTTGAGGAGAACACTCCACCTGCAGCAGATGAAGAAGCATTAGAATGTATGATTGGCTGGAAAAAGGGGATACAGGGTCACTGCAACTCCTGTTATTTGGATGCAACATTATTCTGGTAAGAAAACATGAGTGCATCATTCTGATATACCATGGATTCTGTGACATAAAAAATATTAATAATATTGTTAGAACACCAAAAAGTAGTACAGATCAAGGTTTGTAAGCACTAACACTACCCACTGCTGACACATAAATGATGATTACAGGCCCTTGTAGGTCATTTTTGTGGCCCATTCACAGCCATCTTAATGCTTGTCACATTATTTACCATATATTGTGCCACCAAATTCTTTACCCTTGGTCTAAAATGCAGTTACTACTTTATTTCATTTATGCTGCTGATCATTCTAAAGACAGGCTAAAGCTGTATAAAGAGCTGGTGCCATAGATCTGTATGACTTGCAGAGGTACTGTGGATATGGCACACTGGCATGCCTGTGATTTCACTAAGCAGCAAATAAAAAGTACTAGATTTGTGATCTCTGCTGCTATTATGGTTATGTCTGTAACTGTTATTTGGATTCCCTTGTTCACTTGCCTGCTGTCTGACCTGACCTCTTTTTGTGTCTTGACTCTGCCTTATCTGACCAATGCCCATCTTTGCCTGGATACTGCCTCACCCTGACCACAGCTTTCTTACAAAGTCAATAATCACGCTTGCTTAGTGACTTGACAATTCACTTCAGTAATCTACTGGCACATCATCTGTCAGTACTGGAGCAAACACCAAACCATCAGCAAACTAAGTTTCTTTGGGAGATTCCCTGGTAAAGGCTGCACATCTCTACATAGCCCCACTTCCCTCATGTGACACTGGGGATCGACAGTAACTCTTGATAAATAGTGAACTAAACTACACTGCCCTCTGGCAACAGGGTATTCTAAAGTTGGGTATACACACTTCTATTTTCTTCGTTCAACCTGACTGAATGAAGAAAATAGAACAGATTCCTCCATCAGTGCTTATGAGCGTTGATCGAGGAATCTCCTGCTGTTTCCTTTGTATTCTGACAGCAGTCAAAATACTCAAACAGAGCTGTCAGCTCATTGGCTGCTAACCCTATTTGGCTGGAAAATTTCCAACATGCTCCTTCGATCAGCTGATTGAGGGATGCTGGTCGGAAATTTGCCAACAGCGGTACCCAGGCATCTAATTTCACCCGGTTCATCAAGAACCAGACAAATTTCGAAGCATGTGTACCCAGCTTAACTCCGTATGTCTATGTTGGAAAAACTATGGGGTCATCGGAACTACCATTCTAATATTTTCCTATCTTGACATAATCTAATATGGTAATTCAGAAATTATTTTCTCACCGGCAACTTCAAGCGAAACTATACCCTTATATATCAGCCAAGGCAGGGGCCATCTTAGACTCTATTTGGATTACAGGTGCCATGATTCCTGCACATTTAATCCTCTATGAGACCAGCCATTTGAGGACTTGAGGAAAGTTTGGTTGAGAGCTGAAATAATCAGTTGACATTTAGCACCACTTTGACTGACATCATGGTGTCCAAATATCTCACTGTACAGCTCAATGAGTACCCTGTCAATTGTCTCTTCTACACATAGGGTCTGATATACTAAAGTGCAAAGTGAGATAAATAGAACACAGATTTCTGGATCGTACATTACAGGACACAACGAGTTAAAGTGACACTACACTCAGGAGTTAAATCCAGTGCTAATTTCATCGACTAATCATTTTTGTCATAGTTTTCATCAGCAACACTTTTACAGTGACAAACTAAATAAAAATTAAGTTATGACTAAAACTATAATGAAAATATATTGACATTTTAGCCGACTAACTAAAACTAGACTAACATGTTAAGGAGAGATGATTTGGGAAAATATCCAATCAGAACCAATCTCTTTGGACTTCCAGTTCCATCCTGAATGGACGGATAATAGGTAATATGTTCAATGGCATTACAGCCAATATCGTTTTTCATTTTAATATTTTAGAGTTGCACTTCTGCTTGAAAGAAATAAAAATGTCATATGCAAGTTGTTTATAATCAATGCATTTCTAATTACTGGTCTTTTTAAAAAAAATACTTCATATTATTCTTTATAAGGCTCTGTTCACACCTAGGCGTATCTAATATATGCGCGCTTGTCGTGCGTTTCACCGCGATTCACGGTTAAAAAAACGCGCGACCAACGCGCGTTTCCGAGGCTACTTGGCTGTATCCCAAAGGAAACGCGCGACAAAAACGCCGCAAAGAAGCTCATGTACCTTTTCAGGCGTAGGATGTTTTGTAGCTCGTTCAGACGGGCTGAAATACGGCAAGGTGTGAACCATACCCATAGAAAACAATGGGATTTTCATGTTTGAGAGTTTTGTAGAGCGTTCGTAGAGCATTGAACGCGCTACAAAACGTACAGGTGTGAACCAGGCCTTAAACTTGGTTTAATCTAATTTTAAGTTACATTAAGACATGTTGTATATCACAACAGTTACATTTGTGTCTGTATTGCATGTGGAAACCTTAAGGCCTGGTTTACACTGAGTTTACACTGGTTTAGCACTTTTTCTGCCCTAAAAAACGCTCAAGAAATATGCCCCCCCAAAAATCCAATGAATTTCTATGGCCCTGTTCACATTGGAGCGCAATAAGCAAAATGCCTGTCCCTGGAAAAGGACATGAACTTTTTTTTTTCCCGGCACATTACAGCTAGTTTCGGCCCCACAGACTCATTGGGAAATGCTTGAAAATGCGCGTTTGCTGTGTTTTTGCGTGTTTGCTCATTAACCACTTCCAGCAGGGTCTTGTAAATGTACGTCATCCGCTGGAAGTGGCTATACCAAGAAAACGACTGCTGCTGCCTCAGCTTTGTTCTTGGTACCGTTTTTAAACAGCTGGAGATTGCTGTTCAAATACAAGCGATCCGGTATCTATACAGGCGCCGAATCGCTTGTACAGTGTGGCGCCGCTGATCTCTCCTCCGATCGCTGGACCTGGAAATGATGTGAATTACATTACTTCCGATGTCACAGGGCACATTCTCTGGCTCCCAGAAGAACAAGCTGGGGAAGCAGATCTCTGTTTCATCAGCTTCTTTGTGATCCCTAGGTGATATTAGGGGTCTGAAATACCCCTGATGTTTCCATAAAGAGGACCTGTCACATTATATGTGCTATTACATAAGGGGCTTTTTAACCCGCTATGTGATAGCAATAAAGAGTGTAAAAAAAAAAGGTAAAAATTAAAGTAAAATATTTTTTTAAGTTTCCCCTTTCCCCACGTGCACGCACATACAACACAAACACGCGTTGGATGTGCCATATTTGCATTGGATGTGCGTGCATGTGGGGGCGGGGGACTTAAAAAAGAATAAAAATGCAAAAAAAAAACACGAATTTTTAATCTAGGAGAGGGGGACCGTGTGAAGGGGAGATGGGCTGAGCCTGCAGGAGGGTCAGGAGAGGAGGTGAATGTGCAGGGAGCCGAGTCTTCTGGAGGGTCAGGAGAGAGGGTGAGGTGAATGTACAGGGGAGTTGGACTCA